CGCGCTTTAAAGCGGTATTTTAAAGAGTATTTTTAATGTTTTTAAGGAACCATGATTCTAGATAACCGTATAACCACAGTGATGTTTGTTTTCTGATTTTTGATCTGGTTGAACATTGGTCTTACATTTCACACCTTGCAACGTTTTGTTGAACTGCCATATTTCGTAATGTGAAACAAATAGGTCCAAACGGCCGCGTAAACATGGTTTATTATTCATTTTTCAAGTTGACATTTGGGCGTATACTCCCAAAAAACAAATAACTATATCCACCAAACAAATTATGACATCATTTATACGTCACAGGACCGACCCATCATTAGCGTGCCTGCGAGTGACTTACCGCGCGTGATACACTGAATTCCAACTGCTGGTATTCCAATGAATATGGATCTTCGTATACGTCACTGTAAGTATGTGCTGTATCTCTGAGCGTCACATCAAATAATGGTGGCCCTACATGTCATAACATACATATATTATTTTCTATAAACTAAGATAACCATCTACGGCGAGTGACGATCTGTCAAGTGTGAATGCATTTGTCCGCAATATATAAGTGTTAGATATATTTTGTAACTGCCTTAACCATCACATAAAGGCTATTTTGAATAGGTGAATGCTGACAACATCATGCGATGACAGCGATTCTGTACCATGGAACCACAGGCATTAAACTGAATAACAAGAGTATTTGACTTGAATAATTTGGAATGTTAACACTTTTGCGGACAGGGGCTAGAATTCATTGTGCTTATACAAGTGGATGTACAGTTTGGTTTTTGCTGTGTGTTTACAATGTAAAAATCACGTGAGCTGTCCACAGGCCCTTAAAAAATATAAATAAATTTCGGTTATTTGTGTAATTCTGCAACCGACTTGTCAGTTTCGTGCACACATGTTAATTTTCGACACCGAAATAGAAGCAAATACGGGTTACACACCAACAAAACACAAAAATTGTGTCGACTGCATGCTAAGTGGTAACCTCACTAACACGTGCGACGTGAATAGATAGATGCATGTGCTTTACTGAGCCCACCAACTTACCTGCTTGGCATCTTTCACCAGTATACCCAGCGTCACAAAGACAAGATCCAGCGGATGAGCACACACCACCATAACACGGCGAAACAGGGTAACATGGTATTTCTGAAAATAAAGATACAGTAGTATGAAGTCAGGTGGTAACCACTTGTTTTTTTTCAAAATACAAATTCGAAAACATGAAGATTTCGAGCCACAATTTTGAGAAATATTAAAACAAAGCAATAATAATTGTTTGTCGAATTAGGCAAATGTGTTTGCATTCCCTTTAATTAATAGTACGTACCGGTAACTCAATGCGCATGTATTTCAATTAATAGTACGTACCAATTATTCAATGGTAATGTACTTTGAATTAATAGTACGTACCAGTAATTCAATACGCATATATTTAATATTACGTATAGGTAGCACAAAACATACGAAAATTTAAAGCGGGAGGGTCGTCACCAATATTGGTACGTACCAATAATTAATTGGTAATGTACTTTGAATTAATAGTACGTACCAGTAATTCAATACGCATATATTTAATATTACGTATTGGTAGTGCAAAACACATGAGAATTTAAAATGGGAGGGTCGTCACCTGCGCACGCGCGGGAATTGAGTCCCAAGCGACGATAACAACACGCGCTAAATACGCAAAGGCTCATGGGTAGATGCTTGTTTGTAAACAATGACACACTATGGCCATGTGACGCATCCGCAGGTGACGACTATCCCGCTTCAAGTAAAACATATTCATGCTCTTTATTTACGGTGAGTCATAATCAAATGTACTCCCTTAGGCAACATATTCTCACCTTGGACGTGTAAATGTACAACGCCTGTGTGCTGAAGCGAGTGTTGTATCATCAAAACTAAAACTCCGGCATCTTCCAACAAAACTGGGTTTATGGAGAGTGTGAATTCTGAATTGTCAACATCCCATGCAAATGAATAACGTCCAACACTACCATGTACTAAACGGCCGCCACCAATTATATAGACTGGCACGACACCATCTCTGTGTACAGTTATCATCTGAAGCTGGGGCGTTCTTCCTATGAAGCTCCATCTTATAAAAACTGCACTCCCTTCATCAGCGAATGTGTTGTTATTGCTAATTATGGTTTGTATATCTGCCGTTATGGGGAAAGAAAGCGTACTATAAATATATAATTGGTTGGAAGATAAACTATGATGTATTTACAAGTATAACATACAAGTCACACAGATATCCGAGAATTCACCGATTATCTCTTATTACATTTATGAACAATGACCTTTGAAAGTCGTGAAATCTGAGAGGCAAGAAGCTTCTGTGATCAAAAATTGTGTAAGCGACCATTTTCGCTATCTATGTATAATGACAGATTCCTAAATACATGTTCGTTGATGACGATTGCATGTCAATTGTGGAAGTTTTACCAGTGTTTCTCAAAAACTGGTGTCTCATTGAAAAGAGTATTTGACAGACATTTAAAGGAACCGTGTATAATAGTACATATATAGCCACGTTAGGTATCAATATAAATCTAAAGGTTTTTCCTTCGTTGCGACGATCGGATACATACAATTGATACAGTTGACACAGTGGTTAAATGTACGGACACCCACACGTTGTGAGAAATCAACCAATTATCGAGGCAGGAATCACTGGTGATTAACAAAGGGGTCTTACTCACCGCAATTGACTTCATCGCTTCCATTTCTGCAATCTAGGTAATTGTCACAAACTTTATAACTCTGGAGACACGTGCCATCACAAGAAAACTCGTTAAAGCTGCATTCATTGCCTGAAATTGTTTTGATAGTCCGTTTGAAGGTGTTCAGTCGCGCACTGTCATTCTTTGTTTGATTACGTCAGCAATTTCTCGTTATACTTTCATAATCGAATTACTCAAAATGTTTTGAAATGTGCTACATGTATCGATCATGTGACACTGTTCAAGATGAAAACGTAAACTTATTAATACCAATTTCACGAATAAAACAAATCTTATATAAATGGATGCTTCCTTAAAATAAACAGTAAAATTCAATACTTATGTAACTTACTACAACCAACTTCATCGAAATTATTAGAGCAATCAACGTGTCCATCGCATATGAACTCTGTAGGTATGCATTGTCCGCTTTGTCCACAAGTTCTGTAACCAGTTCCGCAGTAAACTGACGAAAGAAAATTGTAAGGCGGGTATGGGTTAATAGTAGGCATCAATCGTGCTACCAAGTAACTTTTACCAATGTATGTCGCGTCGTCTGACGCTTGTTGTCTGCTTCACAGCCCGTTTTATACCCGATATTTAGGGCATTTCGCAGCACATATAAGTTATTTTTATCGACAGAATTCATTCATAGATCTCAAATTTCATGTACAGACTGTCAAAAGCCACACCTCTGCTCCCCTTTAAACGGTGCGTGACGGTGCGTATGAAATTATTACTTTATAAGTTTAGGAGACAATGCATCTTTAAATATTATAATTCTGTATATGAACTTAGGCAACTAAATTTATATTTATCTTTAGTTTCGCAAATTATCCTGTGAACAATTCTAGTTTCTCAGTAAAATTAGACAATCTGAGAAATATTACACAGTAATATGCATATATGAATTTTGGTAGGAAGTTATCATTTTTCTCAGAGCCAAAGTTGTTTCAGAAAAATCGGAATATATCAACGATAACATGAAAACTTACCACATCCATTTTCATCGCTGGAATCACTACAATCACTGGTTGAATCACACACCTTGTAATACTCTATGCACTCTCCATTATAACACATAAATGGGTTAGTAGGACATCCTGATATATCTAAAATTGACAAATATCATATATGCGACATGACAACTAATATATTCATATCAATATAGGACATTATACAAATGTTCACAGCAACAGAGGTGGACATACAGTTCTGGCGACCCGAAGAGCTCATTGTCAACCAAGGCAAAACCGAGGGGCTTCGAGGGTCTCTAAAACGGTATGTCCACCACTGTTTGGGTGGACATACGCATTATTTTATAATACCGGATAAATCCTAAAACAGAAATTGTGGCACTTAATCATGGAAATCTTTCAGGTCACGCTTGTAGATCTGAATACATGTTGAACGAGTTCAAGAGCATTGATTGAATTTAATTGAGTTTTATCATGGACGTCTTTCTTACTTCCA